GACTATTCTACAATGAAGTACTCTTGGATACTGTAATCTAAATACATATGGAAACGAAGAAGTTGCATTTATCAGACAGAAGCGGCGAGCCATTAAAATGGCGGCAATTTGGCGGAATATCGAAGGACACAATATCGAAGGTAAAATACACTGCACTGTTACAAAAGTGGATGAAACCTTCTTTGAAATCTTCTTCAGCCATTTATGATTGTGTAAAAGTACAATAACTGGATGATATTTGCGAGATTCGGCTGAAATCGTGTTTTCGTGGGGGGTAAGTGAAATAAAATGTATTATATTTAAAGAAAACAATGACAATCCTTATGAAATCAACACTATTTATATTAAATTAAGCATAGTTTTTCACCCCATGATAAATTTTTTTAGGAAATAAGAATATTTACTTTCTGCCAGGCATATTAGTTATTTTGTGCATAATCAGCAATTTACCTGGGGTGGTGCATAGTCATTTTCTGGTAAAATATTATACTTTGACAAATTTTCCCTTCCAATGACCACCCCTAAAAGCAACCCTTCTAAACACTATAAGCACTTCAGAAAGGCTATCGCTTTTCCTTTTCGGAAGTTAGAGCTATGTCGACACTGCTGTTTCAGGGCGGGGTCATTTTAAGGACTTTCGTCCCGGATTCAGGTTTTCGCACATATGCCATGTTGACCGCCATGGTCATTTTACCCTAAAACAGTTGAGATTACCTGTCCTAAATGAATCGAATACAAACTCATATAGAGGTCCTATAGACTATATTTAAAACAGTGCTGTCCTTGCATGCAAGCATGTACGTTGTTGAAGCAAGCCTGTTATTAAAGTGCTGTCTGTTGTTTTGACAGCGATATACTTGTTTACTTCGTTATGCTTTTATAATTATTCTTTACACAAACGTATATTAAGGTGGAATTAATATTTCAAAGAAAGCAATTAAAATCAATAAATTTATCTTTTCCATTGTTTTTAAAAGGCTGTTTAATAAAGGAAATAGAAAACATTTTTTCTGTGTTCCTATAGAGTTTATAGAAACACTTGTGAAAGTTTGGGAGAAACTCGAAATTGCGTGGAAACACTCGCACTTCGTGCTCGTGTTCCCACGCAATTTCTCGTTTCTCCCAAACTTTCACGCGTGTTTCTATAACTCTATAGAAACACAGAAAATGTTTTCTATTTCTTAAATATAAATATATACAAATGTACAAACTATATTCTAGTTGAAGAAACAAACTATAGTCTGTTTTTTTTGTCAGGCAAATGGAGGAGTGTCTGCCAAAATCCAATTCATTTTCATCAAACATCTGCTAGTATGATCGACATGCTGAGATTCCCGACTTTACAGTATTTGACTGTATGCTGACTTTACAGCAAAGTTTTTAGTCTAATTATAAAATTAATAAGCTTATTAATAATATACATGAAACAATTTCTCAATTGTGATTGGCTAAGAGCAGTACAATTTTTAGTTCAGTGCCAAAAAATGAAATACAATGCAAAAAAAAATTCAGTTCAAATTTCTTAATTTTTTATTTTTCAAATTTCTTAATTTTCTTTTAATAATTAAAAATTCTAAATGTGACTTACGCACGTGACTGCATAATTTTTTTATGTATATTATTAATAAGTAATAGTATATGGTTTCTCGTGCAATTTGAAAAAAACACACTCGTCTTTCGGACTCGTGCAATTTTGATAGTCTTTGAAAAACTCACTCGTTCATGCCAAATTGCACTCGAAACCATACTATTTTACCTATACAAATATTTGTGAATAAATATTAATTAGTCTTTTTCGGAATGCTAACGTCATGCGAAATCGAACATAAACGGCTTCGCTTAACTCCACCGGAAATAGAAGTGCTTCCTGAAGGCAGTAATAACACTGTAGTAACATTCCTATAATACTGACTTGACCATCTGTAAACATCCATATGCCAAACAAGAAGTAACTTCATATGAGTAGGTTGCATCTGGTTCCGCTTGAAACACTACCTTGATTTCATCATTGTCAGGGTCAGATTGTTGTACCTCCCCAACATACCATCCTGATCTCCACCCCGAGTCTCCGATTTCCTCTTTACTCCACCTGACTTTAACTTTGCAACCAACCTCGTAGAATTCCTCTATCTCAGATCCTTCATGTAGCATGACTTTTTTATCGCTTAATAATTGTGTGACATTTGTTTCATATAAGCATTCCGGTTCAACAACGTAAGAGATATTAATCAACGCTTCTTCCTTGTCGATAACGTCTTTCACCACTGCAAGATACCACCCTTCGTGCCACCCTGTTTCTTCACAATCTTCCTCACTCCAGAAAACTTTTACAATTGCTCCACATGTTAATATTGTTGAAACTACATCCTTCTCAGGTAGAGAACTTTCTAATGTCGTCATCGCTTCATCAGATCTTGTTGCTAAGGCATTTTTGATCATAATGTTATTGGCAAACTCGTCAAATATTTCTTCAATGTTAATTAATGTGATCTCTTCAGGGACCTCAATATGTGAAGTTGATGAATGAAGAGACTGGACCGAAGCGTTTTGTCGAGGACGTTTTGATGAAAGATGTTGAAAGGTCATTGTTAAGAAAGTCCTGTATTTATAAGTTGGTGGTGTTTCCAGTAGCAGTCGTTGCTTTTTTTCTTCGATGATGAGACTTTTGGACATAGAGACAAGGTCAAGAAGCATTTTTCTCTCTCTCATGAAACAAAGATGCCTTCTATTGTTTGCAATCAAAGAAACGTTCAGGATAATGCTGTCTTTCGTGCCCATTGAAGGCAACCCATACCAGCGTAAAATAGACTTTAAATAACTCAGCTGTAGCTTCCCCAGCTTTTAATTGTTTTTGGGATTGCTTGGCCGGTGTACAACTCGACTTGTAATGCGTTCAACAAGCTCGTGTTTTTTCCCTGAAACATCCAACTTCCGTTCCTGACAGGTTTTTATAAGCTCTTTGGTTTTTTTGGCATAGAGTACATGAGACCTCCACTGGTCTTTCTTTAAAGGGCATATGAAGTGTAAATTTTGATATTTAGTTTTCAGCTCTTCTAGGAATATAAAACGCGCTCTTTTAAGTGTAATACTTATTTTTACATTTCAACTTCTTTAAAATGGTGAAATTTGCCTTCAAACTTCGCTTTTTGGCAGCTTCGAGCCCAACTCGCATTTAGGGGCTTGGGTCCGAGCGATGACGTAGGAAGTTGTACCCGATTAATATACATCACGATGCTTTCAGCTTTCAGCGTCGATTAGCATAACACTTGACTTCGGACGAAAATTTACATTGTAATTTACAAGTTGTGCGCTGTAGTTTCCTACTGTATATCTGTATTCAGTGTTTAAATCAGCAATTCAAAGCTTTGTTTGGAGTATCAGTTCTGCGAAGAAATGGCAAGCGAATATGTCACCGACGATTCGGAAAACGAGAGCATGTCCGAGAGCATGTCGTGTTCATCTTCGAGCGACCAAGACAACAGTGAAATCGTCGAAGACGTATTAGCCGGGACTTATCAGCCTTATGCTCACGAACCATTAGCAGAAACTTCTGACGAGGATGAACAAGAAGAAGTCGATGTTGATGGGATTCCTTTACAAGAAATTGAAGACCGATACGAAGGAATACAAACGATTGAAAATTGGTGTTGTTGTGGGCATTGCGACGCGTGTTTGTTATTTGGTCCAAGAGAATACAGATGCTGTCACGAGATAGATGCGGCAAATGTTTTTAAGTCAGAACCAACAGAACCTGTTCAATGCGTTACTGAACATCCTGATTTTAACGCTGTTGTATTGCATCCTCGAGTCCTGCAAGTTGCAGCGAATGGATTGGCTCTCCCTTGCTCCCAGTCATGATCAGGTAAAACACCCTCCCTCTGTTTCCAGGTCTTCATTGGTTTTTGAACTGGTGTAATGTCCCCATGTACAATGCTCTTTGCATCTTTGGAATCAATAAAATAGTCTTGTGGTTGTTCAACAGCTTGATCAACAAGGAAATTTACATTTGAGGATGACCAATGTAGGTTTAATGCAAACTTTAGGACACCAATTCTTGGAGGTTGATGAAGAGAAATACATGCATTAACTCCCTTCCCATCGTGATGCCTTTTTGCTTGGTGGAGTAGAATGTTTTGGATTAGAATGGTCGTTATTGACAGGGTGTGGATGGTGTTTCTTTGGTGGTAGGTTATCATAGTTATCGATTGATGATAAAGAGCGCCTTCTGGGTGGAAGAGGGGACAAAGGCTTCTTTGTTGTAGTTTTTGTTCCTAAGGAAGCTACTGCATCAGACTTTTCACACTTTGAAGTAGGACTCTTTAGATCGCTGTTGGCATTGTTCAAAAGAGACCAATCTAAAGTGGACTGCTTTAAAGAAGACTGATTACATCAGCCATGGATTGACTGGTTTGTATTAGGGGGTATTTTTACATGAAATGGATTACGTCTTTTTTTGGCAAGGAATCTTTCTTTTCGGCTGATTTATTTTTTGTTTCGGTTTTGGCAATAATCGGAGGATTATTCTTGACACGTGGTGACGAAAAATAAATAGATGGATGCTTGGAAGCCTGTTTAAGGTCCGATTGTTTTACGTCAGACTGTTTTAGGTCAGACTGTTCTGCAAATCCTTGTACTGGATGATCTGCCTTTGAAGGTTTCTGTCTTGAAAGGAGGTTAAAGTCCGAAGCGTGGATGGAAAGAAGTCACCAAGATGGCGAAGTCCCGGTTTCTTCGTTCTTGAACATGTTGCGCTGGGATAATCAGTTTTCTCATCGCATGTGTGACTTGGCGAAGAACGCTTACGCTTGTTTTTGCTCGAAACTGTCGTCCATACATTGCAGTTGCCGGTAAGAGGAAGCAGAGGAACAAATTGATTCGGATGGAAACTGCGTGTTCTGTCAAGCCATCCTCCCACATTTGTCCACATAATGGTTATAACTGGATTCCAACTTTGACAAAGGCGCGGTTTGAACGTACCATTAAGCAGATCATGTAGTGTATGACGCTTGTCTGGGTAGATCATTTTAATTGTACAGTTTATTGCTGACGCTAATCCCATTATCTGTAAGATGCCTGAAAAAGCACATTTCTTAAGAGTTACGAGCGTTTCTGTTTGCAAGGCTTCTTCGAATCGACGTGCTGTCACACCTTTCTTGATAATATTATTAAAAATAGCAACATCATATATAGATGCTTTAGGCCATAGTTTTCCAGATTGGGTCACGATTTTCAGTTCAATTACAGCAGGATGATTAGAGTAGAATTCTTGGTTGTTAATCAACTCAAAAGATGTTCGCAATCTTAATTCTGACGCCATTCTTTCATTTCCACAAATACTTTTACTTGCTGCGTTGAATAGGCAGTTCCCATCACCGGTCGTTTTGATTGGCTGAATTGCAGAATACGTTTTGTTTTCTGGCAGAAGAGATCTAGCCATCTCGTCCACGAGAGTACGAGGCATTTTCACGCTACCAACCTGGCTTGTGTCAATAGGAGTGGTGTAACTGGTTTGTATTTGAGTTGATAATTTCTGAACAGCAGAAAAGCCTGAAGCCTTAAATTGAGATTCTGAACATAGTAAGTGTAAATCTTGTTCAGCATCAGCAATCATCAACATTTTTAATTTGTTGTAATAGCTTTACGGGCACACCTAAATATAATTTAGGATAAATATATTTTATTATAATCGTAGTTCGTAAATCGACATATAGCTAACTATATTTCATCGCATTTTATCTTAATCCTAATATATGATATTAACAGGGTGTATACTGAAAAAGTAGACAATTTTGAAACGGCTCTCAATTTTACAAATCCTGTTTATGTTATGAAATTTTTTATAAATGTAATATATTCTTTGAGTACTTTATTAAGCAGCATTAAAAATGGCTAGCACGCAAAATTTAAAAGTTCAAAACGTGAATTTTGAGTTTATGGGCGAGAAATTTGTTATGTGTTTTATTAATGGTCCAAATAGGGGCCTATCATAAAATTTGCTCAATTGTAAGACTTATAAATAGCCGCTGAAATTTTCATCTTTTTGCACCAATTTTCACGCATGTTTATATTTCATGCATTTACCTAAATTTGCATATTAACATATTGTTTATATGTTACTTTTTAACATATATTATATAGCCTATCTATATTTATGAAAATTTCATGACATGAACGGATTTGAGAAATTGAGAGCCGTTTCAAAATTGTCTACTTTTTTATAATAACTAAAAACTAAATTCTAAAATCGAACTGTGTACAGCGGGGTTCGAGACTCGATTTTAGATTCATGTATTTTAGATTTTAATTTCGGTTCTATATTTTACATATTATTCTTAGGACTTAGACTTATAGTTTTAATAAAGATTATAGACATATATTTTTTCGACTCTCAGCCGGTAAATTTTCCGTTTCCCCTCTACGTATATATGCATGGCTCTAGACTCACTAATGCTACGTTTTACGCTACGTTGACTGTGACACACATATATATTCAGAAATGGCTTGACTCCTTCAGCAGTTCAGCCATGATGCAAACTAGTCAGTCTAGTCAGAGAATGCCAAATAATAAAAAATATTACTGTATAAAAAATTGAAATTACTTACAAAATACTGGTATATGATATCTTTATAGACTTTATATCTAGTCACTCTCCACTCTCTTGACTCTAGTATATTCTAGACAGTTTAGATATTTGAGTACAACGATGTTAACGTAAAGAAAGTTTCGATGAAGATAGCCGCATAAAGGTCTATAAACTGTTCGGCAACGTAAACAAGTCTAATTTCCCGCCTAAATAATCGCGCTTCAAACCAATCAAAACCAGTGCTTCCACTCATAAGGATGATTGAGCGGGCATAAACGGGCATAACAAATTTTGTCATTCATGTAAACTATAAGTTTGAAATATACTTGTTTACATGCATGTAATGTTGTAGAAACTTTATTTTAATACCTATATTTTGAAAGAAAACATTCTGAGCTTTTCAAAAGTCTTGTTTTATAGCACTGTCTGCATGTGATCAGGCTAAACTCAGAGGGCTATTATAAAACTGCCATAACTCATATAAATAATAAAGTCATAACAAACGCGAAATCACTAACATATACTTGCAATCTTTGACTTTGACCTTTGTATGAATTAACAGAATATTACAATATATTAATATGAATTTACTGTACTGTAATCAATAGACAATAATTTCAATATTTTAATTCTTCAATATTTTAGAATTTATGGGGCGGAATTAATAGTGATAATTTCCCTGCGTTTAAATGGACAAGTAGGTTGGCACGGTTGCCGAGATCTCGCTTGAAAAAGCCGAGATGAAAATTTCTCCATTTAATGCATATTTTCATTGTTTTGAACAGGTTCTTATTTTTAATAAGCGACTACAACGGTCAGTAGCAAGTCATTATTGCGGTCAATCAGGTGGAACTGGAGGTCATTACTCGCTGGGGCACCTGTGCCCCAGACGAGTATAGGTTTCGGCTCTGTTCTTGGATCGGCAATCTCCAATCGTCGATAGCCTCAAAATAGAAAACTAATGAGCTGCTTGATCCTTTTCAAAATGACGGGCCTTTCGTGGAGTGGGCAAAATGTTTCAAACAATTTCGTGAAAATTATGAACGCATTGTACCTGTTTTCTATGGATTTTGCATTGTGTCTAACTCTGGACATTCTTGCTAGTTTATTTAATACGTTTTTCTTGCTGAACGACTCTGAAAATCCGAAATTTGGATCGTTGAATTCCTGTGCACGACCATAATATACTGAATCTAAATATAAACGAGCCAAAGACAATTTCAAGGTAAAAGGTTATAACTTAAACTCCACAACGTAGTTTTAACAAATAACTACTTTATGAGATCTGAGAAGCATATTGGTGTCATCAATATAAAATTTATCAAACAACAGTCCGTGAAAACTGTAGTGTACTCAGCAGGGCGAAGGGAGAGAGAGCGTGGAAATGCCAATACATCGAGCGTCCACATCCGTGATGCGGGCTTCGCGGGGGAAAAGACGTTCTAATTGTAAACAAATATGGCTACGCTTTTATGACCCATCAGAGGTATGTTGAAAGTATTGCTTTATAAAATATTACTTGTGTCAAATTTATATGTTTTTGTTACTTTTACCTATTATAAGAAACTTAAAGATAAGATTTAAGTAACGAAAAACTTTATTTTGGGTGTTTAATTTGGTGTTTAAAAATGGCCGTCGAAATGTTGTAAGAAAGTGTTAGCGCGCACTGCTTCCTGATAAAAACACAATGATTTCCAAAACCTAAATTATAATTTGTTATTAAGTTATGATGAAAACCTTTGCGTAGACAAAATTACAGAGTGATCAAACATGAGACAGATAGGTTTTGAACCTTTCAAAGTTCGATGTCGAATTGACAGTTGAAATAGTACCAAACTCCAAGCTGAAATGTGCAACTTTATCGTGTATATTTTTGTCAATTTTGTTTACTGGCCTTTGTTAAATTCAATTGCAATGGCTTGACATAAGTTACAACATACAAACTGAGCAGAGCCCATGAAAAAGCTATCCATACCCCTACAGTCATTCAGCTTTTTTTTCGCTTTTTTTTAAACAGCTTTATTAGGAACTAAATATATTACATTAATAAGGTACAAATACAACAAACATGCAGTTCCTATAAACGGAAAATAGCGAACAGGCCATAATAGCCCATGCGAGGCTACCTCCCTAAAGAAAGCTTCCTTGCTATTTAGAATTGGTTGCCCACTAGTTGAAGAATTGCTATTGTATGCACTTGTTTGCACTTCCTTTCCTGAGAAAGCCTACAATATTAGGGCTAAATAGCAGAGAAATATGACCCAATAATCCATGCAATTAAAAATATCTATCAAGTTAACTTCAAAAATCATGATTTGAGGAATTATATTTATTCAGGCAACCCATAATTTAGTGACAGGTCTTGGCAAGGTGAAAGCTGAAAGGAACCCTTAAGATGGGTGTACTACAAAACTATATTGACTGAAGTTTTGGAAACATTTAACTAAATTTTGAAGGATTGACTCACAAACTGTGATTCAGTTTCATGGGATTTTACACTTTTCTGGAGCAGTTGTGGCTCTGTTAGTGCCATTTCTTTCATTGTTTATATATCTCGCTTTTAAGCATTGCTCACTTATAAAATCTTTCAATTCCTTAATCTCATCCCATGATACTGAATCATAGTTTGTAAGGCCCCATTTACATGAGACCAGGATGAAACCAAACTGGAATGAAAATTGAAATTGTTAACATGTTTACATGAGACCGGTATGAAAATCACAAAATTTCCAATTTATTCCCCTTGCCAGGCAATTTTCTTTTTTAGATGGCTTTTGTTAGCATGTGTTGTTCACTTGTTCCAATGTCGACATTCATTCCGGTCTGAATTCATGCTGGTCTGAAGTCGGCTTGGTCCAGCAGGCGGAATGACTTGAGACCCCATGTAAACATCTATTATTTATAATATTATGACCAAAACGAAATGGTCCCGGTTAATTGACTTCGTTCCAGTCTCATGTGAACGGGACCTAATAAAATCCTTCAAAAGCTGGCTAAATTTTTCCAAAACTTCAGTCAATATAGTTTTGTAGTGCACCCATCCCAAGACCTGTCACTAAATTATGGGTTGCCTGAATAGATATAATTCCTCAAATCATGATTTTTGAAGTTAATTTGATAGATATTTTTAATTGCATGGATTATTGGGTCATATTTCTCTGCTATTTAGCCCTAATATATTGTAGCCTTTCTCAGAAAAGAAAGTGCAAACAAGTGCATACAATAGCAATTCTTCAATGAGTGGGCAACCAATTCTAAATAGCAAGGAAAGGAAGCTGAATGACTGTAGGGGTATGGATAGCTTTTTCATTCATGGGCTCTGCTCAGTTTGTATGTTGTAACTTATGTCAAGCCATTGCAATTGAATTTAACAAAGGCCAGTAAACAAAATTGACAAAAATATACACGATAAAGTTGCACATTTCAGCTTGGAGTTTGGTACTATTTCAACTGTCAATTCGACATCGAACTTTGAAAGGTTCAAAACCTATCTGTTTCATGTTTGATCACTCTATAATTTTGTCTACGCAAAGGTTTTCATCATAACTTAATAACAAATTATAATTTAGGTTTTGGAAATCATTGGGTTTTTATCAGGAAGCAGTGCGCGCTAACACTCTCTTACAACATTTCGACGGCCATTTTTAACCACCAAATTAAACAGAGTATAAAAATAAAATAACACCCGAAATAAAGTTTTTCGTTACTTAAATCTTATCTTTAAGTTTCTTATAATAGCTGAAAGTAACAAAACATATAAATTTTACACAAGTAATATTTTATAAAGCAATAGTTTCAGCATACCTTCTGATCGGTCATATACGC